CCCCGGGCCAGAGTCTTGCCAGGGGAATCTGCACAACCTTCACACTGATCTCATAAGCTCCAGGCCGGCAAGGTGCACCTCTGAGGGCACGTGTGACATCGAGAGAAAGGGTACACAGTCGCCAGAGACGGCGACAAGTAGAGGCCAGGGTAGCACTGTGATTTCCTTTTTACTCTGTGGGGGGGTCACGGAAACCTCTCAAGCAGAAGAGGGGGTCGAATCATATGGCACGGGCCTCAGCTAGTTCATGGATTCCAGAAGAGTCAGGCCACAGGAGTTCAACCGCTAACCATACGGGCATCGCGTTATTTAAACTCTCAGGGTCACGGTATCTGCATCTGTATCATGGGCAAATAATTATTTTCTCGTGCAAGGATGAAGCAACTTTTTCTATTTTGGTGTTTATACCTGTGTGTGGCGCACACACGATGCGTGCCGCCTGATAGGAAAAACTCTACAGGTGGGCCTGGCGGCGGAAGTCACCGGCAGGTGGGAAAAAACTCTATAAATAGTAACTACCGCTACTATATATAGGCAATATTTCATTTATGAAAATGTTTTCATTTTCCAAAATTTAATTGTTAAGTTCATTTTTGGAACTTACAAAGTATTTCATTAGGTTAAAATGATGATCAGCCTCAAGCGTGCCCATAAAAGTCTCGACGGTCCCCCTGTGGCTGAACTGTGGCACGACTAGTTTAAGAGACTCGGCAGCAGTTAAAAACCCAAGCATCATCGATCATATCATTTCCGAGCAAAAAGTCTGCCTACGTGGAACCTTGAAATCCCCAAACACATCACTGCCAGTTTCTCTGACGTTGGCCCCAGGGCGGTGGGGGTGGGGAGGTCACTTCCATGGGGCTCTCCGGGATGCTATGAGATGACACAAGAGTCCCTGGGCCGTGGGAGGGTAGAAGGGGTAAGGAAGAAGCAAGGGGATGGAGAGTTAGGAGAAATAAAACCGTTGAGATGAATATAATATTACGTCAACTATAATCAGTTAGAATTATTGAAAGAAAGAAAGAAAGAAAGAAAGAAAGAAAGAAAGAAAGA